TGTGGTTTGGGCATGGATGCTTTCGTCACCGCATGCTTTTGGAACACGAACATTATTGTGGTTTGGGCTTGGATACTCTCGTGACTCGTGTCCGTATGCTCTTGGAACACGAACGTTCTTATGGTTTGAGCATGGATGCTCTTGTCACCGTATACAAACGGAAATATGTTTGGGCATGGATGCTCTCGTGACCGTATGCTCTTGGAACACGAATGTTATTATGATTTGGACATGGATACTCTCGTGACCGTATGCTCTTGAAACACGCACGTGCTTATGGTTTGGGCATGGATGCTCTTGTGACCGTATGCTCTTGGCACACGGGCACACGAACGTTCTTATGGTTTGAGCATGGATACTCTCGTGACCGTATGCTCCTAACACACGAACGTTCTTATGGTTTGGGCATGGATGCTCTCGTGACCGTATGCTCTTGGAACACGAACGTTCTTATGGTTTGGGCATGGATATTTTCGTGACCGTATGCTCGTGGAACACGGACGTTCTTATGGTTTGGCATGGATGCTCTCGTGACCGTATGCTCTTGGAACACGAACGTTATCATGGTTCGGGCATGGATGCTCTCGTCACCGTATGCTCTTGGTTACGATGGTTTGCGGTCGCAAAAAGAGGGAGACATTGGAACCAAACATTGCCACAACCTTGGTTGCGCCGAAACTGCGGCTTTGAGCAACCCGCCTAATGCACACCAAAAAGCACGCAGCGAACAAGCAGCGAACGAAGCACGTCACAAAAACAAAGCGTTTGGTACTTCACCACCCGCAAGACCGACGGAAGAAACAGTCAAAAAACTCCAACGCGCCAAAACCGAGGTTTGGAGCACGCGTGTTTGCTACCGAAATGCAGGGTTTCAGCCCAAAATTTACACAGACATGTAGAGCTTTAAACAACGGCCGGAAACGTACCGCGTTCCTGTTTCTACTAGTAGTAGTAGTAGTAGTAGTAGTAGCAGTAGCAGTACTACTCCTCCTCCTCCTCCTGCTGCTGCTGCTGCTGCTATTCTTACTATCATCGGCTACTGCTGCTACTATTACTATTATTACCATCACTACTAATACGACTACTACTACGGCGACTATGACTACTATGACTACAATGAGGACGACGACTGCTACGACTGCAGTTTCTGTTATTGTCATGACCTTGGCCATCCGTTTACCTTTGCGTTACCATTATCATTCCGATTTTTTGCGAGTCCAAAGCCAAAACGCTAGATCCCACATCCCAAATCCTAAACCCCAAATCCTTAACCCTGGACTGTGGGACAAAGGTACCCCGAAGGCTCGCCGACACATCCGTCGCTACCGGCTGGCCATGCCGTTGCCTGCTGGTTGTTGGTGGGGATGAAGGGAGGGTTTAAGGTTCCAATGTTCTGCTTGGCGGTTAAGGGTTTAGGACTTAGGGTTCAGTATTCAGGGATGACAGTCAAGGGTTCAGGGTTGAGGGATAGTATTGCCATCGTTGTATTACTATAGTAAGTAAGAACTCAATGCAAAAGAGCTTGGAACATGAAATGAAAGCTGCGGTTATATACGATCATATTTTCTACCTTTGGATAGCAGGGAATGAAGGCATGGAAAAGAAAGTGGGAGGGTTTAGGGTTTGAGGTTTCGGATGTAGGGTTTGGGGTTTAAGGTTCAGGGCATGGGGAAGCAGACGGAAGCTACTATCTTGTTTTGGGTTATATATTGGCCATTTTACGGATATCAAGTCCTCCACCCCTGAACAGCCACCACTAAGGTTGTGGCTGGGGCGTGCGTGACAGTGTTGAAGGCAATGCTCAAGACGCTGGCTTCATATTTGAGATATTTTTTATGGGTCATCAGGTGAAGGGATTAGGGGTCGAGGGTTTTTGCATCCTCTATACTTTCTGGCTGGCGTTAACCCACCATGAACAAGCGGGTGGCAACAGGCATCCTCTGCCGGGCCCCAATTGCAAGGTTCTCCCTCACATGAGTGAGCTCGTCTAAACTCATTAAAGGGGGTTGTATACAGGATTATCTAGGGGACTATTATACGGGTTATTGAAAGGGGATACTAGGAGTTTAGATAGTAGCTCCTATTGCTGCAGTAAGAAGATGTAAGAAGAAGCTTTTTGCTTCCAAGGGAATTTGGGAGGGTTTAGGGTTTAAGGTTTTTGGGGTTTAGGACGTTCGACGACGATAAAGCCACAATCGAGACCAAGTGGGTCGCTGGAAGCCGTACGGCGTGGCATTCAATCGATGGCCACACGCTCGTCCAGTATACCGAGCCGGATGCCTCTGAAACGGGGTTGCAGTTAAGGGTTTAGGGTTTAGGGCTTAGGGTTAAGGAGCGTAAATTAGGTTGCCATGACAAGGAAGCCGCGTAAGGCACCGTTGATGCATAGTTACCATAATGGTAGAAAGTTCTACTGCTTCCTAAGTCTGGTAACAAAGTTTAAGCTCCTTTTTGGCAACCCAGAGAGCCCAATATAGCCAAATAAAGGAATATACCGTAGATGATACTAGGACCCTTTATGATGAAGCAAGGCATATTCCTGAATTAAGGGGTACCCAGAGAGCCCAATATAGCTTAATTAAGGAATTTACCCTAGATTTTATATTAGGCCCCGTATTATGATGGAAGGTATGTTTCTTAAATAAGCTATATTGGGCTCCCTGGGTATTGGGCTCCCTAAGAGCAGAGGAGATGACAGTCAACGGCGAACTCAACAAGCTGGGCTCCAACGTTGCCCTCGGCCGTGACTTCGCAGGGGTCCACTACCGCGCTGATGGCGACGGTGGCATGCTTGCCGGTGAGGACTATGCAATCTCCTACTTGGCAGCGAAGCTCAAGAGCTACAGAGAGGCGGATCAGAAATATCACCTCTTCGATGGATGGGTTTTGCAGAAGTTCGATGGGTCCGTTGTCAGGATCACCCACAAGGGTGCCCAGAGCCTTGATTCTCATGATACTTACAGCCCTCCCCGTCGCCACACCCCTAAAGAAAAGTGGCTGTGGTGGCTAAGCAAGCTGAGAGAGATACTGAGCAAGGCAACGAAGGATGTCAAAAAGGATGTCTGAGAATAAATGCTCTCAGACGTTTGAAGTTTCAACAGCATGGATTGAGCACGGCTAAAGTGTCGTGTGGTTCCTTGCAGTTGCCGCCTTGATGTGTTAAGTCTCTGCAATAGCCTGAGACAAGTTTTGTACTCCCCCAGGGTTCACATGAAGCCGCGTGAAATTGAAGGAGCTTGGATTAGTCAGGCTTATTTGGGAGTTTCCTAAGTTCTGGGTCCCTTTTAAGGGGCTCCCCATAATAAGGATGAGAGCTTTTTTGGGACAATCTTGGGTTTCCCCGTTTAAAGGCAACTACCCTTCGATAATTCCAGCCAGCAAGAACTACAGCAAGAACTAGGGCGATGTTCCTATTGTGCGTTTACCATGTAGGCCGCATGGTCCCAATTTGAAGGGTTGGAGTCAGCAACGAACCTACTGCATGATGCAGATGAAGTAGCCCCCTCCCCATAATATTAACCTCCCCCCCACTCTCCTGATATTGACAACTCCCAATATATTCTGATATTCCACAATGGGTGTTTTTTTAATACTACGGGGGAGTAGGGGGGGTTATATTATAGCCACGCTTCAGAAGATAGAATATAGCCACGCTTAAGAAGATAGAATATGGGGTAGATGGGGATCTGATTATAGATACCCTAAGCCATATTGTATCTACCTGAGGGGGACTATTAGGGGGGAGGGGAGCAGTTACCATGCCGTGCACGTGCTGGGGCCCCGACGCCGCATGCAGGACCTCGCCATTTTGGGTTTGGGGTTTAGGGTCTAGGGTATATATCCATCTATGAGCCATCATCAAAACTCCTCAAAGGGGGTCACATAAAGGATTCTATTTGGATATGAGCCACAATCAAAATTCCTTAAAGGGGATTATATAAGGGATTATATAGGAGACTGCTATAGGACTGATTATTAATGGAACAGACTAGGAGTTTTGACTAGCCCATATGGCTTGGCGATATGGAATGTTCTCCCACTTACCTCTGATGCGCCACAAGCAGGGCTCAAACATTCGTTTTTCTCTGTTTTTCGGGCTTTGGGCGAGGGGGGGGGGGAGCACCCCACCCTTGCAGCATCGGAATGTGGCTACAATAGCCAACCCTTAAGAGGAGGAACGTAAACACATCCATGCAAAGGGAGGCTGAACTTTTTTCGAAGGGAAAGCCGAAGCCCTAAACATTGACCCCCCACTACTTGGAGGGTCAGGGGGATTTAGTAAGTAGGTTAATAATCCGTATATTACGCCTAGGAACCTAAGTATACTGAGTCCCCCTGACCCTCCAAGTAGCCTGTTTTTGGCGTAGAGATTCCAGGGGATGCCATGGTTGAATCCCAAGCACGGCGTAAGATAAGCTATAGTCTTTAGGGTTTAACTACTTAAAGAGGATTATCTGGAGGATTATATGGGGAGTATTATAGGGGCTATTAAGGGAGATACTAGGAGTTTGGACGGCTCAGATGGTGTTATCCTTACGTTTGGCGGGATGCAACCCCCAAAATCCTCCAATCCACCCAAACCCACAAAAATCCAAAGATGCCAAACACCAAGCCCTAAACCCCTCAAACCTTTTAGATAACAAAGACAACCTTCAAACACTAGACCCAAACCCGAAAACCTTTACCTTCAAAGGTCTGGAAGAACTACAAATCCTGGGCATGGCTTTCTGCAGTGAATATGGACCTGGTGAAGAGGTGGCTTTAAGGGCTTAGGGCTTAGGATTTAGGGCCTGGGGAGAGACATAGGGTTTAGGGTTTAGGGTTTGTTTTGAAGATTTCGTTTCCGATGATGCTAGAGCCTGGTAGACACTAGTTAGGAACACACTCAAGTTACAAGCAGGTTCCCTCACATCTCAAAAACAGACACAAGTATTGCAATATACCTAACTAGCCTAGCCCCTAACCCTAAACCTCATATCATCCCAATTTCCATTTGATTTTGAAATTTCTGTTCTATTTGCTTCTCCGTTATTGGGGCGCAATTTCCCTAAGAACCAAGATGACCCCTGTTAAGGGTTAGTTAAGGTATCCGATGGTATCCGTATATAGCCCCTGTATTACCACAGCTTCCATGCCATTCTCAAGTTTGCCCAAAACGCTAAACCTTAAACCCTAGCCCCTCAATTTTCAACCCTAAACCCTAAACCCATTCAAGCCTCACTTGAATTTGGCGTGGCGATAATTAAGCCCCCCCAAGTTATCATGGAATTTCACACAGCCTAAACCCTAAACCCTACACCCTAAACCCTAAATAGCGCCCAATCAAAAGGACAGTGGTTTTTGCAGGGCCATGATGGGCTTTTCGGTTTACGGTAGGTCCCTAGGGTACCCCTTAGTCAGCCTTAGTTAACCTTAATTATCCCCCAGTAGCCATAATAAAGGGGGAACCTGAGAAGGTGTAGTAGTATGGGGGTTGGGGGGTAGGGGGCACTGCCGAGGTTCGGGTTTAGGCCCTAGAACCTAAACCTTGAACCCTAAACCCTAAACCCATTTTTTTTCAGGATTTGGGGTTAGGATCTGAGATGGCCTAAGGCGAAAAAAAGGTTTGGGGAGCGAGGTGAACTCGCAGGTAGCTTCGTAGCTCTAAGTTTTACCTATGCCATGACTTAAATTCTCCTTGTACTTTCCTTGTATGATCCCATCCACATTTCGCTTACTGGTTTATAGAGTTGGGGAGTGGGTCGTTGTGGTACTAGCCCAATTTGGGATTGTGACTTCCTGCTGAGTTGCCTTTTATTTATACCCATTATAGAGAAGGATTATTCCTCCGTTTGGGGTATAGTATTTTATACAAGGAATATAATCTTACTTGGTTCAACCACCAATAAAACATTACTCTCCTGTCTTTCAGCTCGCCAAAGTACGTGCTCTGCACTGTGGTTGCGGCCTCGGGACTACCCTAAGGGATACCTGCGAGCTACAAACAGGATATGGGGGTTAAGGGTTTAGGAGGGGATCTTTATAAAGGATTTTACATGGCTTTTTCCAGAGAATGACAGGTTAGAAAAAGAGCGAGTTCTATCCTCTGCACCCTAAACCCTAAACCTTAAACCCTACATCCTAAAACCTAAACCCTAAAACCCTAAACCCTAAAACGTTAAATCCTAAACCTTAAATCCCAAACCCACCGGGTGCACTTGTCAGCTCTGCAGCATTTTTTTTAGGGCGAGACACCTTATCCCCTCCGTGTCCCTTCTGCAGCCGACTTTTTGCAATGTCGAAGGCTCTGGCGAATGTTCAGTTTGCTCTCATGGCAGTCCTACTGGGAGGCATGTGGGTACTCATTTTAGAGGTCGGGTTAAGTTTTTAAGTAGAATAATTTCCCGACCCTAGCCCTGAAACCTAAGCTCTAAAACAAAAACAGTGGATCCTAGACCTGTTCCTCAATCCTCAAACTTATGTAAATCCTAGGCCCTAATATCACACATTGCTGTAAACCGTACACTCCAAGATTAAACTTACCCTAAACCGTATTTGGTAGTTTCCATTTTCCTTGCCATCATCCCATTATAACCCCAATATATCCCCTGTACCCTAAACCCTAAACCCTAAACCTTAAACTCATCCTTACTTCGAACTGCCCCTTGAGCGCCCATCAGCATGGCTCACGGGATCATCAGCAGAGACATGCTTGAGCGACGAGACAGCGTTACTTGAAACCAGAAGGGAACAGTGAGTATGGAACCTACTGCAGGGTTTGGGGTCTAGAGTTTTTAGTTCGGATCAGGGTTTCAAACTAAACCCTATAACCCTAAACCCTAACTCCCAAAATAGTACTTGCCATTTTCTTTTCCATTATCCCAATATAACCCCTATATTCTACCTACTTAAGGCGGAGTATAATGTTTAAGGTTTGGAGTTTAGGGTGTGTGAGATGAGGACGCGCTCGTGTGCGAAGAGTCCCGGGCTGCGCACTTACGTTACCGCAAACCCACACGGCCACCCAAACCATAATCTACTAGGCTTTAGGGTATGTCCACCCCCTAAACCCTAAATCCTAAACCCCTAGTATCTAAGCCCTAAGCAGGTCTTGGGTAGCTCAATTCTTGCGAAAGCTTAGGGCCTGCCCGGCCCATCCCAACGGCCCGAATTTCCAACAACTCAGGCCTGGAATTCCCAAAGAACAGAAGTGTTCCCCTCTCCCTAATATAAATACTCCAGCCCCCCTAATATTAAATACTCCCATTATGCGTTATATTACAATATATTGGGAGTATTCAACATTACGGAAGGGTGCGCTGTGGGAAAACCCTAAGCCCCTAAATCCTAAGCAGTAGGGGGCAGGCAGGAAGCCAGCACCAACAAAAACTTCCAAATACAGGGTTTAGGGTTTAGGGTTTAGGACTGTGTAGGCTGTAGCGGTAGATGCCCCTATAATTGAGAATCAAGTGGAAAAGAAAATGCAAAGTGAAAAGGACATTGGCTTTATATATATATACATATGTATGTATATATGTATATGCATATGTATGTATATATATATATTTATGTATATATATATGTGTATATATACATATACTCAAAATTTCTCCGACATGGGACCAGCTGGTTCTGGGCGGCTGCATCCCTGTTCGAGCGGAGGCGTCCACAGAACACATTCCGCCCCAGAAGCGAGCACCAGAACCAACAACCTCATGAAAACGGATGTTCCTCAGTTGGGTACGGACGTTGTCGTAAGCAGGACCAATATCGTTGGCTTGTCCAGGACAGACAGTGAAGTCTAACCCTCGCCTTTCCGTATCTCCTTTCCGTATGGCGCTGGGGTTGTGGGGCTCTTTGCCAGGCGTTCGGTGTTGTCGCTCCACGGTATCGACCCCTAACTTAGTTCACGGTTTGGGGTTTGCGGATCAGGGTTTAGGGCTTAGGGCTCCAAAGTTATACGAATCAGATCAAATCCATACACGAATCAATGCGGCCGATCAGCTTACGAATCAGATCACGCCGGTCAGCGGATCAGATCAGGAGAAGGCACGAATCAGATCAGCACGAGGCACCAATCAGATCCAAAGAAGCCAGATCAGAGCATTGTACATGGGGACACGGTTGATTGGGGTTTAGGTTTCACGGAATAGGGCTGACGGGCAACGGCTTGGAAGGTTTCGAGAGCGCACTGTTTTGGGCTGTAGACCTCTGGCCCGTGTAACTTTCCAGGGTTTGGTGGAGTTTTTGGGTTTACTCAGGGGTTACGTCTATAGGCTGAGGGTTTACGTAGGGTTTAGGGTTGGAGGGTTGTGGTTTATGGGTTTATAAAGGGTTTATGGTTTAGGTCGAGGGTTCAGGGTTGTAGGTCTCAATCAGTGTTTAGGGCTATGGTTTATGGTTCGGGGTCGTTTCCTGGCTTGTAGGATCTAAGGCTACGGTTTGTCGTCAGTGGTTTAGGGTTTGGGGGGTTATGCACAAGGGTCGGTATCATCGACCCTCACTTAGTTCACGGTTCGAGGTTTGCGGATCAGGGTTGCTTAGGGTTTATCGGGTTTGGTGTTTAGGGATTTTTGCTTTGGGTCTAGGGTTCGGGCTTGGTTTGTTGTATGGAACTGAAGATGAAAACCACTATATGATTTGGGGTTATGTCGGGGTTACTTCGGCATTCCCTGACCTTATTCCCTACTAACAGCGAGCAAGTTATACAGGCTATAAGACGTTTAGGGCTACATGGGCTTAGATTGTTGAAGGGATTTCCCAGACATTGAGTAACGGTGGGGAGCCCAAGAGTATGCGGGAGCTGAGGAAATAGCAGAAATCCCTGTGTGATGATGGTTAATTATTGCTATAGGGTCCCTGTATATACCCAGCATATTGTTGGTGGGTGGGGGACCCCCATAATATGGGTGCGTGCGAAATGACTGGCCTCTGCCGAAGCCCAGGGCCCACACCCGTTTCATATCCCGTTACATAGGGTGTGAGCAGAGAGCGGTTTTCGCGACAACGCCCCCAAACGCATTCCTTGTACAGAAACAGTGAAAGAACGCGACAGAGGATACGTAGCATGCTGGCATTTCAAGGGGTATGGAAAAGAGGGTTTGGGGTGCGGAACACGACGACACGAGGTTTCGGCACGCAGCCACATGAGGAAGTCGAGTACTTCCAACAAGTGTTTAGGGTTTAGGGTTTAGGGTTCAGGGTTTAGGGCTTAGGGTTTTATTAACCGTGTATTTTTCGTTCTACATGTGTATGGCGTGTGGTTCAAGGTTCCTTCAGCGCCGTGATGACCTGGTTGAGGATTCTCAAGAGGACTGGATACGCTGGGGCAGGTACGTGGGTCGAAGTTGAAACAGGTCATGTTTCAAGGTTTAAGGCTTGGGGGGTTATGTATGTGGGGTTTTGTTTATACTACCCCGCGAGAGGAGCATCCGGTAGAGCCTCAGTAGTATGTCAATGCGGAATCAGGTACAGGAAATTATTCAAAGACAACGGCATGAATTATGACTTGCGCAACTATACCGACGAAGACGGCACTGTCTACCTCCCTTGGATGTTTTCCAAAACGCTCGAGCATGATCCTAAGACGGGCTTCGCCAAGAAATCGGACATTGATCTTGCGACTTGCTCGTGTTCAGGGGAGAGTAGATCCTTGTAATAACCCGCACATAGTTCCCTAAGGCAATAACTGGATTTCCCCCGGCCTGAACCCGAAACCATAAACCCCAGACACGAAGCCATAAACCCCAATCCCGAAACTTCAAACACCAAACCCTAAACCTTCATCCCTAAACTTTAAGCCGCAATCCCCAAGCTGAAGCCCCAATCCCCAGCCCCTTAAGTCCGAATCCCCAAACGTTAAACCCGCACCAGTAAGGTACTGGCCGCCGAGACCGACCCTACCCTGGACAACGTTGATTCTGGGTTTCTTTTAACGGATTTAAACCCACGGGTTTAAGGTTTATAGGGCTTAGGGATTAGGGCTAGAACAGGGGGCTTGAGGTTGAAGGTTTAGGGTTCAGTGTTCAAAATTACCGTCACCCACATATATCGTACGCAGTCCCACAGTGGTCAAGGTTTCAGATTTGGGGTTACTGATACCATATAGTAGATAGTCTGGTTTCCTTACCTTACTTAGCCAATAGAAGAACTTTAAACTTTATGGGCTTCCTTTTTGGGTCTCTATAATAAAGCTTGAACTTTTTTAGGCCTGGTTATCGGGGAAGAGAGATACTATGGCCCTTTCATTTAAGTTCTGTGTCTCCTATGTAGCCATTGTATGTTATCATCACGCAATTTCCCTTTCATGTTCCACTCTCGTTCGCATTTGATTCCCCATTTTTGGTGACCTGACACCTGAAACTAACCTTGAAGTTCCTCAACAGCAACCCCTAAATTTCAAACCCTAAGTCCTAAATTATTAAGCCCTAAGCTCTGAACCCTAAGGTTTGTTTTAAAGCAAGCTAGGAGTCCATCGTCCTCTCAAGCAACACCGTCCGGAAGCTTGAAGGGCTCACAACCACACGGAACAGGAATCTGAGTTTTGGGCTCAGGGGTCCTGGTTGGGGGTTTAGGGTTTGGGGTTTACTGAGGTCAGTCAGGGTGCGGGGGCGTCATTTTGGAGAATGTGTGCCAGTTTTTGGCGGGTTTGTGGTCAGTTTCTGGCCAAAGACTAGTGCTTTGCTGGGGAAAGGACCTCTGTTCAATCGAAATTCGGGGCGGTTGCGCTTATGCAGCCTTTCGGCTCTTCAGGCAGCACGCTTTGGTCACGCTCAGGGATGTCGTTTTCTTCCAAGACAGGCTGGTCACGCCGTAAGGACTCTTGGTGGCTTGGGGTGGGGCGCGTTGCTTGCGTGCTCCGCGCATCGTGATAGCCTTGACTCGGGGAGTGTAGCGTGACCGGGGCGTGCCCAGTAGGGCATGTTGCTTGGCGCACTGGGAGTGACAGAGGATTGGGCCGGGTGCTGCGTGCCCAGTGCAAGGTGCGCCTGCCGTGGCGTGCCGCCGGAAAACTGCCAGACCTGCCTGCACGCACCCAGCCATGACAAGCCCAAAAAAGACAAATTGCTGAAGGTCACACATGTGCCTTGGTTGAAGGTAGTGACCCAGATGCCTGCATGCCCCCATTCATGACCGGCCAAAGCTTCAAACGTTGTCGAAGGTCAAACATGTGCCTTGATTGAAAATGGTGACCCGTCTATGGCACGCAACAAGCCCACGCACGAATGTAAAGGGATTTAAGGAATGGGGTGAGCGTGGGGGTCAGGACTTTCAAGGAAGTTTTTTTTTTCTGCTTGTATGGGCATCTTTCAAAAGCACCCAAAGGGTCCTTTTTGTTCTTGCAAGGGAAATAGGGAAGTAGGGACGCAGGAATGAAGCTGGCCACCTTAAACCCTGTATAAACCCACAGGAACGACCTGGGAAAACCGCCGCAACTCGTTGAGTACCCCTTCTTCTACGAGATCGACACGGAGGAGTCCGCGTTTGAAATGGCGGAGGTCTACTGCCAAGCGTTGCTCCGGGATGTAGCTTTTTTCGATTACGGCTCTGATTCCAAAGCCGCCCTGTGCCTGGTTCTAAGTTGAAAATGTTTTTGTAATCTCTACTCGGCAAGAGCCTCCAAAGGGACAACAAAATAGAAAGCATTGCTAGTATCTCAATGTGGAGCCCGGAACCAGGTGCATCCAGGAGCTGAACAAATTCTCTTCCAAGACGTCAGCGCCCACAAATGCAAATGGCATGATTGACGCGCAAACGCTCTTCAGGGGGCCGAATCCCGGTGAGTTGGAAGGCCCGTACATGTCCCAGTTCCTTGTAAAGTCGTTCCGCTATGGCAACCTGGAGATCGACCAGAAGTATCTTGCTGGTCCAACAGAAGATCTTTACATTCTTTGGGCTTCCTCATGTGGTTGCTAGAATAAGTCTATGTTTTGTTTGTGTTGGTTGTTGTGGAAGAGGTATGTGGTGGAGGAGGATCCGAACAACATGCTTACCATGGCTGGCTGGCTACAGGTGCAGAACGGCGAGGTCCCAACGGGCATCGTGACGAACGGAATCTTTGTTTTTAGCCAACCGAAGAACTTTACATCTTTTTCAGGCTTCATGGCTCTTTTTTTTTGAAAGTTTGTTTCGTTGCGCTGGGTGAGAGGAAAAGCATTTGCATCAAATGGACGTGTGCTCGGATCAATGGTGCACAGGGACCCGCTCTACCAGTTCTACTATAATGCCGCTTTGCTTGCCCTCCAGCAAGGAATTAGCACAGATGGTTTGCATTTAACGGCAACTTCGGCATGGACGACGACGGGACCACCGGATGTGTTCGCAGCGGTAGGGCATGTGGCGCTGGGCGCTCTTCGCACCGCTTGGTGGCAAAAATGGGGTATCTACATGCGCATCCGTCCGGAGGTCTATGCTAAACGGCATCTGGGTCAATTGTCGGGATTTTGTTTACCTTCGTGGATCTTGTTGCGGTATGGGTTCCTTTCATAAGTACAATTAGGATGCGGGTGAATGGCACGAAGCAGGTTTTCCTTCCCAGTGTGGTAGGGCGTGGAGCGTAAACCCTACCCATTAAACAGGGAGAAGTAAGCCCTAACCTAGTCCTTAGACCCTGATCCCTAAACCCTATTCTTTAAGCATCAAGGCTTAATCTCTAGACCTAAGCTGTTTCCCGAAACCCACACCGTGTAACCTTACAAAGACTAAGGCGACTGGTGGTTAGTAGGAAACAAACAAGGGACTACAACCATTATACAATCCCTTCATAATGTATTCCGTAGTAACTCTAGACCCTAAGCCCTAATCCCCAATCCCGAAACCTTATATCAATTTCCCTTATTCCCTACGAACCGCACAATAAGTAAAGGTATGAGCTGGCGCGCAAGCATCCGGAACTCGCACCATGATTGGTGAAGTTACTGGCGGTTTTGAAGGGATTTGGTTCGGGCTTTGGGGTTTTTAGTCCCCCTGAAGTAGATAGAATATGGGGTATATTATTGGGGCTATATGGGGATAATGGAAAAGAAAATGGAAACTACTATAATGGATTATATATGGTTTAGGGTATAGTCCCCCTTAAGTAGATCAATATGGGTACATGGGGATCTTATTATAAGATACCCAAAGGGGGACTATAGGGTTTAGGGTTCCGGGTGTAGGTTTACGGATTAGGGCTTAGGGCTCTCTTTACGGTTCAGGGTTTAGGGATTGGGGTGTAGGTGCCCGGAACCAAGGTTCTGGCTTAAGTGTTTAGGGTTCAGGGTGTAAGTATACTTTTACGTTCTATGAGCCGTGAAATCCCATGATGAAGCCCGAAGTTGTGTGGAAATTGTGGCTGTTTTGCTTCCGTTCAAGGGTGTGGGCCACCATTTTGCCCACTTCGGGGTTCAGGTGGCGATTAGTTTAGAATGAGGGAAGGAACCTACATGAGCATGGAAACGCGGTATGCGTATGATGTTCGATCACTTAAGCGATGCGGTTCACGGGCTGTTTTTTTTTAGAATTGGAGGAATAGAATATTTGATTTTTTTCGAAAAACTATTATCTAGCACAACAACAACTTTCTATGGTTAGTCTTGCGGATTATAGACAGACTCTTGCGGGCGTCCCCCTCGTAGCCACCAGTAATCAGGGGTAAACGCAAAACCCAAAACCCTGAACCCAAAACCCTATACCCTTAGCCCTAAATCAACCCTAAACCCTGAAACTCTTAAGGGAACCTCGGGGCCTTGGGCCCCAGGGCCTAAACCCTAAACCGCCAAAACCCTAAATCCTAAACCTTCAAACCCTGAATCCTAAATCCCTAAACCCCTTACTACATCCTAAACCCCTAGATCCTAACCCCTAGACTCTAGACGCTATTCCCCACTCCCTACATCCCTAAACCCCACAATCCCAGACCGCTGAATCCTAAACCGCTCAACCCTAAACCCTAAACCCTAAACCCTTAGGGGCACCAATGAAGTAAGGTATCGGAGGTGCCAGGCCTAGCCAACCTCAAGGCTCACATCGAGAAGGCAGACCTGCTGTTTCTGGGTAGTGTTTAGGGTTTAGGGTCTAGGGTTTATAGGGTTTGGGGTTTGGGGGTTTAGGGTCTAGGGTTTAGGGTCTAGGGTTTAGGTTTTGGGTTTAGGTTTTGGGTTTAGGGGTTGGGGTTTTAGGGTCTAGGCTTTAGGGATTAGGCTTTAGGGTTTGGAGTTTAGGATTCAGGACTTAGTGTTTGTTGTTTGGGGCTTAGGGTTCATGTTGTTGTGGACCAGACGGGTAAATTGTCTTACCTGAACCCAATGCACCTTAGTAATGATCTTGATAGTACCTCAACGCAGGGCAAGTTATGACAACCTCACCCGACCTCACCTCAAAGGTGGTTTTCAGGTACAAAATGAAAATCGCTCCAATTTGGCGCAACTTCAGGATTTGAATCAATGGGGAGTGTCATTGACTGAGCAGTACTGTTGACACTAAACATCCTGCATGACCTCAGTAAAGTATAATACTATAATCCCAAGGTTTGGGGGACTTTCAGAGTTCTGCCGGATTTTCGTATCCACCGTAGTAGTAAAACTAGTAACCAAAGTAATCGTTGTACTAATGCTCGTAATAATTCGAGGATTGAGGAAGTGCTCAAAGAAAACGAACTCGCATCCGGGGTGGAGACCGCGCTGCTTGACATGCAGCACCTCATCCAATGTTGCGTAGGGCTTAGGGTCTAGGTTCAGTACTGCCCCCCCTCAGTAACAGTTGATACTGATTTTAATATGGCTATATATCGCCCTTAATAGGACCCCTAATATAGACTGTTACTTGGGGGGGGGCAGTACCCAAGGTTTAGGAATTATTGAGGAGGTGTCGCGTTGAGGCCTGCGGGGTTTTGAGCATCGAGCAAAGAGGCCTTATATCAAACTGTTATGCAGGTCCATGGCGACCCTGTCTAGCAGAATGAGCCTAAATATGAGATAGTTCCAGATTTGTATACGGGTCTCCTACCTAACTTTTGCTCATTTTATGATTAGTGTAATAGGGGATTTCATGGAGTCATAGAAGCTTAAGCTTATATTTGCAAGAACCAAGACTCGAAAATATATAAACTCTTGCTGTGTTTATGCATGTTTTTTTAGGGGTGGGGAGGGTTTCGCAGCATCAGCTAACTTCCAAGACTCCCTACCTCCTCCGTCTCCACCCCTCACCCCGCACGCGCCGCAATGTACCCTTTCGAACCTTATGGTGTCTCAGCCAGCAGCAATGGAATGGAACAGGTCTTTCTTTCATGCCCGCTATTTGCCGTTCTCATAAGATTCAAGCACAAAAGGGTTGGCGCTTGTAAAGTTTCCCATGGGTGTAGAAACTTTTCTTCCGCCGGCGGAGGGATGCAATATCTATTGGTGCTTTCATGTGTACTATAGTCTAAACTCCTTAAAAGGGGTTTAAAAAAGGGATTATAGGGGACTACTATAGGGCTTATTAGGGGGGATACTAGGAGTTTAGACTATAGCTCATGTAAAAATATCAAAGTGAAATTGCAATGGGGTTAACATGTATCTATTCTTGCTATTTGCCAACCCTAAACCCTAAACCCGTAACAAATAGGGTGTAGGCCGCCCTACCCTAGAACACTGGCAAACACCGCAAAAACTGATGAGTTTGCTGTGTTGGGATAGGATAACTTTTGATTTTTGCATCCTTGACATCCCTGTATCTAGGCCTTGAAGCAAGGGATTTATACCAGAGTCAGGCATTAGTATAGAATTGCTTGGGGGGTCATGGGGACTTAGTAAGTAGGTTCATAATGTGGATAACCAGGGTTACTACATGGATTATAGGGGTTCTTAACCTACCTACTAAGTCCCCCTGACCCTCAAAGGAACCATTTTCGACCAGACACTTTGAATCCCTTGTGAGCTTGAGCCAATAAGTATAGCTCTCCTACGTCTTTCAAGTCCTTATCTTGCTTTAGATGCAAGGATTGCTTCTCAAACTATTCACAAAAGCCAGTGTCCTTGTAAGAAATATGATGACCGTTCTATTCAGAGAATACCTTGAATTCGTTCTGAAGAAAAAAGAAGGCATTCCATTCGATTCAAAGGGGCAGGGGCTGCTGAAACCATGGGAAATCATCAAGGTCTTAAGAGAGAATCTCTGAAATACGGAACTGTACTGTCTTTAGTAATTATTCTTAATTCTATTATAGTATAACCCTAAGGAAATATTAGAAATACCATTTTCATTATAGGTCTAAGGAAACTACAGGTAACACAATGCAAGAAACGTCATCTTGAACTGGATACGTAGAGGGTGCTCATGTTGCCGAAAAACGCTTGCGTTCGCAGCGGGGTACAATGACGCTCATCATTGTTCTAGAAGGTCAAAAGAGTTTGTAGAACTCTTCTTGAAATTCAAAAATCTGCGCTACTTCAGAATGAGGGAGAAAGAGCCCCGTCGTCTCAAATATGAATCAGCAACTATCCTCTCGGTCTTCACTAAACGACAACGTTGGATTGTGGCATTTCAATCGTTCAGATGTGTTCTTGGCTGTACAAGTTCTTCGTTTACACATGCTGTTTCCATACCAGTTACTTACAGCACAGTTCGAGGCTGCCCACGCGCCACAGCGACACTCTCGCTTAGCATGTAGGGTTTCGGGTGTAAAGTCAAATGGAGTTGAAGTTGAAATTGGTAATGAACAAGAGTTTACATGGTTCAGGGTCTCATGATCCGTGTGCTTGTGGGGGTGTTTGCACGACCGTAAAATCATCCTGGCCTCTTCCTGTTCTGGGGTAATACTACGATGACTATCGGCCATACATGTGCCATTGCGACGATTTCTATTACTGTCATTCTCCTGACTCCCATCAACTTTAGCCTTTATGTTACTCCGACGACCGCCGTTATTGCGGCTGCTGCTACTGCTGCTACTACTACTACTGCTGCTGCTGCTACTATTACTACTGCTGCTACTACTACTACTACTACCACTACTACGACTGCTCCTGCTACTACTATTACTATTATTGTTATTATTATTATTACTACTACTACCACCACCACTACTACTACGACGACGTATCGGTTCCATTGATGACGGTGTCGTTTCTCCACTTCACCTGCTTAAAACTGGGTTTTCGCGCGGTTTTTGAGCAACGCCCCCCTCGCAGATTTTGACTTGATTTCGTTAGTCGAAGGTTCGCCCCATTAGTCCAAGGATTTGAGGAGTTCTGATTTACTTTCATCATCGCCCCATTGGTCGCAGGGTTTGAGGAATTCTGATTTCATGTTTTCATCCCCCAATAGGTCCAAGGGTTTGAGGAGTTCTGATTTAATTTTATCATCGTCGCATTGGTCCAAGCTATGCCCCATCAGTTCAAGGGTTTGAGGAGTTCTGACTTAATTTGGTTATCGCCCCATGAGTCCAAGCTACGGCCCATTAATCCAAGGGCTTGCGCAACTGCTCTACCAGTACAGGGCATCATGAGCATAGCGGGTTTTCTTCGGTGCCTTCCAATATGCCCATGGGTTGACAAGTTCATTCCTATTCTAATCGCACTGTCCCGCCACCGCCAGAAACATCCAGAGCATCATTAGCGATACCGGTTTTTCTTCGATGTCTCCCCATACGCCCATGGGTTGACAAGCTTATTCCTAAATAGCATCGGCCCCGTCACCGCTAGAAAAATCCAGAGCATCAACAGCAAGACAAGGTAAGGCTAGGGTGTGGGCAGGTCTAAACCTCATTTTTTCCGTCTCCCAAAAAAATCCTACACCGGCCCTACCCAAACCCAGGAATACCTTAGCAGGTGAAACCTTAACCCGGCTGCCGCTGCGGCTATGGGCTTAGCCGCGCACCATGTTAAAAGAGGCTAGGGGACGTTGGGGGATATTGTCTTGAAAGTTCCATTAAGTCACACACCGCGGTGAAGGGTGGAGGTTTCAGCGTTGATTTTTTTGGGTTCAAGGCGTAGGGTTTAGGATTTAGGGTTGATAAAATACAAGTTCATGATCGTGGCCAAAATAGCCCCAATATCTGCGGGGGCAACTGCAAGGTAAGATTAGCTGAAACTGCTGCAAATTACAGTACTTCAGGCCTGAAAAACTATACCCTCACGAACGCAACCGGCGCATACTACTACCACTACCACTCTACTATTACCAAGTATTATTATTATTAGTAGTAGTACTACTATT